CAGCAGCCCCCCAGAGCCAGGGCTGGCGGCAGCCGGGAGGCTCCAAACAGCTGTGCCAGGCTCTGGGATCAGCTCCACACCGGTGCATGCAGGCGCACATGGAAGCAGGCGGTGGGGGAGGGGCCCAAGGCAGCGCAGCCCAGGTCTCTCCTCCACTCCCGGCACGGAAGTGATGGCAGGGTTCTGGAGCCCGGCATAGCTGTTTGCAGCCAGTCCGGGCTCTGGGCAACTGCAGCAAGCAGCGGGCAGGTTGCAAACAGCTGCGCCGGGCTCCACAGCTCTGGCGTCAGCTCCATACTGGCAGGGAATTGTGTGCGCCCCTCGGGACAGGCTGCACTGCCCCTCTGTCTGCCCCTGAGGTGCACGTGCAGTAATAATGGAACGGTCCAGCATGGACTGGGAACTAAGGCTCACAGGTTCTGTGTCTGCCTTGCTGTGATGTAAGGCAAATCACTTAATTTCTCTCTGAGCCCCAGATTCCTCATCTTTAAAGTTAGGATAAAAAATGAAGTGAAGATTCCATAGGCACTAGATACATGGGGGCTTGCTTATAAGTGGACAGTGCACTGGAATTGCAAAGCAGACCATACATATTTCATAGATTTCATAGACATTAGGGCTAGAAGGGACCTCGGAAGATCATCAACCAAACTTTGGTCGATGATCTTCCAGCCCCCTGCCCCACGGGCAGGAAGTCAGCAGAGGTCATAGGATTCCAGCAAGATAAGCATCCAAATTTCTCTTGAAGGCGTTCAAAGTAGGTGCTTGAACCACCTCCGATGGCAGGCTATTCCAGACCTGGGGGCTCGGACAGTAAAGAAATTCTTCCTTATGTCCAGCTTGAAATGGTCTTGCAGGAGTTTATAACCGTTCGACCTAGTCGTCCCTTGGGGCGCTCTAGTGAACAAACGCTCCCCCAGATTCTGGCGAACACCCCTGATAAGCTTATAGGTGGCCACCAGATCATCCCTGAGCCTGCGCTTTTCCAGGCTAAGGAGTCCTATAGTGCTCAGCCTCTCATCCTAAGGTCTGTTTTCCTGACCTCTGATCATGCACATGGCTCTCCTCTGGACTCTCTCAAGCTTCTCCACATCCTTTTTGAGTCGTGGAGCCCAAAACTGGATGCAGTACTCCAGCTGCGGCCTCACAAGGTCAAATACAACAGGACAATGACTTCCTGGGATTTGCTTGAGAAGCATCTATAGATGGAAACCAGCGTTTTGCTTCCTTTACTAGCTGCAGCATCACATTGAAGGCTCATGTTCATTTTGTAGTCAATCATGACCCCCAAGTCCCTTTCATCTGTAGTGCTAGCCAGCGTAACACTGCCGAGCCAATAAGGATGCTGCAGGTTTTCTTTCCCAAGGTGGAGAACCTTGCATTTTTCAATGTTAAACACCATGAGGTTCTCGTCCGCCCATTTCCTGAGCCTGTCAAGGTCAGCCTGGATCACCCTCCTGTCCTCAGGTGTGGATAGTTTACCCCAAAGTGTGGTATCATCGGTGAACTTGGCCAGTCCGCTTCTGACTCCAATGTCCACATCATTAATGAAGATGTTGAACAATATAGGTCCAAGGACAGAGACTTGAGGGACCCCACTGGTCACAGAGCACCATGACGATTGACTTCCGTCAACCACCACCCTCTGGGTCCGACCATGGAGCCAATTCCCTAGCCAGCAGATCGTGGTGGACCCGAGGCCGCAGTTGGTCAGTTTTGCCAAGAGGTGATCATGGGATACCAGATCAAAGGCTTTTTTGAAGCCAAGGTATATGACATCAATCTCCTCTCCCTTGTCTAGGTGATAGGTCACCTGATCATAGAAGGAAATGAGATTGGTCAAGCAAGACCTACCCGCAACAAACCCATGCTGGCTATCCTCAGGATGTTGCCTTCGGCCAGCCTGTTAAGAATGGCCTCTTTGATCATCTTTTCTAAGACCTTCCCCGGGACAGAGGTCAGGCTGATGGGCCTGTAGTCTGCCAGATCCACTTTCCTCCCTTTCCTGAACATAGGCACCACATTGGCCTTCTTCCAATCTTCAGGAACTTCACCAGAGCACCAGGAGTTCTCTAAGTTCCGTACACATAAAAAGAGACAGACATGTTAACAGAAAAGCCACAACCACTATTTATTAACATGAAGGGAGAGTATAAAACAGGAAACACTCAGGAAAGGTAAAGAAACTGTAAAAGGACAACCAATTAAAAAAGAAAGCTGTTGAGGAAGGCTTGAAAAGATTTAATAGGAGAAAATCTTCATCTGCATGCCTAGTGAAGTTTTAGCAAGTAATTTGGATAAAGAATTCTCTGTATCTGTTGTCACTATAAGTGATTGACTCTGGATATATTATGTGGCGGGATGGGAGACATTTAATTAAAATGGCTCATCCCACAAGTTGGGGAATTGCACATACAAAACTCCTTTGCATCAAGAGGACAAAAGCCTTTCTTCATTTGGGTTAATCCTCAAAGATTTAATCTCATTCCTCCTGTTCCAGCTGCCCTTCATTTGTTTAGACAAAAACAGTATTTCAGAAGGTAGAAAGAAATGAAAAGAAACAGAAACAAAACTGAAAGAAATGGAAATGAAACAGAAATGAAACAAAAGAACAAAAAGACCCTAATCCTTCTCCATGCTCATGCTTCCTTCTGATTACTGCAAACAACATTATGGCTAGGGACAGACATTCAAAAAGCCTGAGCCTGAATTGATTCAATCTTTGCAGGTTAGTCTAACCTGCCTAGGCTGAACCAGTTTGCAACTGCACAGACTTTCTCTCTGGACTGAGGAAATGCAGGCACATGCCTGCAGCGGCTTAGGCTAGAAGTCAGGGAGCATGAGAGCAGCCCTCCCTTCCCTTCTATAGTGCTGAGGAGGGGCGTGACCAGGCGCCAGCAGGAGGCTCTGATTAAGGAGGGGTGTAAACCCCCACCCCACCTGCACTGTCCCAGGCTTTTCCCCGCTTGTTGCTCAAGGGATGGGAGTATTGCCAGACCACAGCCCCAGGCTAGCACTCTGAGGCAAAGAGGGAGTGTGCAGTGCATGCGTCTGTTGATGATATTGAGCTTTTCAATCTCCCTCTCCCTGCTTCTTCATACTGTCTGCAAACCTGACAGGTGAGAGAGCCAGCAGGGAGCTGATAAACACTGTGTTATCAGCCCATCAACAAAACAGAAGTCTCTCTCATTAGTTCAAGGTCTTCTTAAATAGTTTTTTCCAAGGAAGGAACAGATGGACATTACCAGCTGACCTGCTGATTAGCTCCAAAAAGCCCTAGGTGGACATTGTTCTGTCTGCTTTTGTCCTGTCTCAGCAAAACTGGAGACACACACACACACACACACCCTTCTCAGTATTACCTAGCATACCACATACCTAGGGTCCATGGGGCTGGGGTCTATGCTGTGGGAGATGGGAGGGAGGGTGAGAGGGATGGCGAGATCCCTGCTTGAGCAGCAAGCAGCGAGAGGTGGCGGGGCAGGGGGAAGCCAAACAGACTCTGCTATGCCTGCAGTCTCGGCCAGAGGTCAGACTAGGAAGCAGAGGGGTGGGGCCATCCCTGTTCTCTGAAGCAGACAGCACAGCCCAGCCCAGGGCTGCAAAGCATCTGGGAGGCTGGGGGACTCTGGTTTAACTTAAACCAGGAAGGGGTCTGGGACAGACATTGCATAAACTGGTTTGACCCAAATCAGTTAAGTCTGATGCTACATTCAACCAAGTATATTCTAAACCAGTTTCAGACATTTTGAAACTGGTTTATGCACATTGAACTTATGTTCTGATGTTCTGTTACAGGTTTAAACCAGTTTCTAATCTCTTAAACTTGTTTATGTGTAATGTCTGTCCTTAGCCTATGACTCCATCATTAGACGCATCTTCTGCAGCTGTAAAATTAAATGAACAGTTGTGAAATGCTAGGTATGGTAACACAGGCAGGCATCCTATAGCTTTATTTAGGAAGATTTAAGCCACAAGAAGGAAAAAACATGGGACAATAAACCATACTCTGAAGGACTGCTATGAAGCAATAAAACAAACCTCTCCCCCTAACTGCTATACATATGAAACAACAGGATAAAGAGTCCAATATC